CCCCAAAACCCCAAAACCCCAAAACCCCGATAGTAAGAAAATAGCTTATAATAAAGGAAAGAAAATTTCTATATTTTAGTAATATAAAATGTCTTAGAGGGACAGAATTAAAGTAGTTTGTAGAATAAGACCTGAAAACAAATTAGAAAAGGAGGGATCTTATTAGAAGTGTGTAACTTATGATGATACAAATATCAGCGTCACAGTATTATATTTTGATTTTCTAACTATTGAAAGTGTGTCCCTGAGAGCAAAGTTAGCGACATGGCTGGCACACATAGCTTTTCATTTGATAGAGTATTCGGACCTCTTGTGAGACAATCAGATATCTTTACTGAAGTAGCGAAGCCAGTCGTAGATGGTATGGATAAGTTATCATTTAAAATCAAATCTAGGTCTATTGAATGGATTTAATGGCACTGTTTTCTGTTACGGATAGACAGGTAGTGGAAAGACTTTTACGATGGAAGTAAATTTTAACTATTTGATGAAATTCAAGTAAATAACTTATTTATCAATAGGGAGCTGATCTTTATAATGAAGAACTTAAGGGTCTATTGCCAAGAATGTTCGTTTATTTATTTAAGCAAATTGAGAAAGCTGATTCTGCTTTGGAATTCAATATCAAGTGTAGTTATATGGAAATCTATATGGAGAAAATTTAGGACTTACTTGATCGTAAACTTTTTGCTTTTCATTAATAATTATCTTATAGCAAAGAAAAATAATCTATAAGTAAAAGAAGAAAAAGGCAAAGGTATATATGTAGCTGATGCAACTGAAGTTTATGTGACTACCCCTGAAGAGATGTTTGAAGTAATGAGAGCAGGCTCAAAAAACAGGTCTATTGCAGCCACCAGAATGAACGAAAAATCTTCAAGATCTCATTCTGTTTTCATTTTGACAGTAAATTAAAAGAACACAAAAACTGACGCATCAAAGTTAGGCAAGCTCTATCTCTGCGATCTGGCTGGTTCTGAGAAGGCTGGAAAAACCTAGGCATCAGGATAAACTTTAGAGGAAGCAAAGATGATTAATAAATCATTATCAGCTCTTGGTAATGTGATCAATGCATTGACTGAGGGAAAAGCAGGAGGGCATATTCCATATAGAGATTCAAAACTGACTAGGATACTGTAAGAGTCACTTGGTGGTAATTCTTAGACATGCCTTGTTATTACATGCTCATTGAGTGCTTATAACGATCGTGAAACTCTCTCCACTCTTAGATTTGGTAATAGAGCCAAGAATATAAAAAACAAGGTGACATAAAATGCAGAACGCAGTGCTAAGGAGTTACTCATACTATTGAATGACGCAAATGGACGAATTGATAAGCTTACTGAATTGGTGAAATTGGTGTAAAGCAAAATGAATGAATTAATGAAATAAATACCTGATGAGGAAAAAGCGAAAATCAAGCAATTTTTAGATGAAGCGAAGACTATTACTACAGCTAAGGATTTCGATTATCTAATGGCAAAGTTAAAGGGGCAGGGTACTGATGAACTTTAAAAAGTATTGGAAGAAAATAAAACTGAGGAAGACTAGTTAGAGCAAGACCAATCAGAGTATCAATCTGAGGACGGGTCTCAAACAGCCAGGAGAAGGCATGCTAGAAATGCAAGTGAAATATCAAAGTACATAATGCCGCCATCAACTGAATAATAAGATGGTACCGATGTAGCTGCTAAGTCAGAGGAATAGGCTGTTCATATTTTCAAATTGAATTAGGAAATTACAAAAATAAAGGAAGATTTGGACAAGGTGAATGAGGAAAAGAAGGATTTAGAAGATGAAGTAAAAAGAAGAAATGAAGAAATTTACTAAATGAATGAGAAGCAGATCCTTTAAGAGATCAATCAGTCAATGATAGATCAAAAGCAAGTAAATGATCTATAGGGTAAACTAGAAAGAGTATAAGATATCAATATTAAAAGAGTGGGGGACATGTCTAAACTCAAACAATGTATTGAGCGATTGAGATGTGACTTAAATGTACTGTTCTTAAGTAAAAAACTAAATAAAGATATGCCTGCTGAATCAATGCTAGATGATAGTGGTGTCAATGCTACTTAAGAAGCTAGTGCTGATAGTGATAAGTTTGTTAGTGAATAAATTTAAAACACTCTCGACTATATTTATAAACTAGAGTAGCAACTTAAGGATGATATAACAACATTTGATAGTGATAACCCTTTCTAAGCTGATAGATAGATCAATCATGAAAGAAGAAGATCTTAGAATATTGATCCAAGGAGTAAGTTTTAACTTCATATTAATATTTTTAGAGATGGATACAACAGTAATAAGTGAAATTGAATATTTGAATATATTACCAGACATGGATATGGATGACAGCAGTTTTCTTAAGAACTCATATGACGGACTTAAAAATGGTGATTCTAAAAATGACGAGGAATAAGTTTAAAGAATAAGTGAACTTGAAAAAATAGTTGAAATTCAAAAGAAAGAGTTAGATGAATTGGCATAAATTAAGCAAAGTCAACTTAAAGATGAGGATTAATAAAAAGAAGAAGAGACAAAGATTAAACTGACTCTTGAGGAAGAACTTGAAAAAATTAAGAAGCAGTTGGAGGAAAAGGAAAATTAGTTAAAAGAAGTTGAGACTAATAGTCAGAAAGAAATTTTGGCAAAAGACAAATAGCTGTAAGAACTCCAGGGTTAAATGAAGTTTGATAAGGAATAGTTTGAAAAGGCTGTAAGTGATAACATCGATAGGCGTTTGGTTTATGAATTAGAAAGTAAAAACAAACTACTCTAAGATAAAAACAAGATCATTTTTACAGAGGTAATAACATTGAGAAAAGATATCGAGACAAAAGATACTGAAATTGAAAAAGCTACATAAAAAGCATCTCAACTTGAGAAGAAATTACTGCTACAATAGAGGTTGCTATAATAATAGCAAGCTGTCTAAAAGTTACCAAATATAAGTCAAATGATGATGCCATTCTAGTAAAATGGGCAAATACAATTTGGGACTTATGGTGATATGGCCATGAATCCTCCTTAACAAATGCAAAATGTTCAAGTATAATAACCAGTAAATCTCAACCAAAATGATGTTCCTCTATTCTTCAACAGAAAAGTAATCAAGCCAGTAAAAGGAGGTGGTGGCGGGAGTAAAAACCAAATTCCATAAGTAAATCCCTATGGCTCATTTAAGCCTCAATCACAACCTTTGAATTTCAATGAATTTATCAGCAGAACTAGTAATCCTGGAAATGGAGGTAGTTTTAAAGCAAAGACAAATATTTCAAACTACAATAGTACTACAACTCCAACTCTGGGTAATATGAATGCACCGATCATCAAGCCAGAACATTAAAAAGAATTTCAGAAGTAAATCTTAGACGCCTAGTAAACGCCTTAGCAAATTCGAAAACTCTAATAGTAACAATAAGAGGCCATGCGCAAGGTTAAAAAAGAGATTTACTATTAGAAATATAAAGAAGCTAAAGAACTAACTAAAAAGTCTCAGCTTGAAGAGACAAATTAAAGTGGCGACAGTGATGATGAAGACGACGATGATGATGATGAAGACGAAGAGGAGACTCAGAACCAAAGAAGACCTAACCAAATGGCAGAAATATCGAAAATCGCTTCTTCTTAGGACTAGCATCGCAGAGGGAAAAGTGTTCACCACTCTTCAAGACCTTCCACTGCTACAGGAAATGTAGAAAAATAAAAGAAAAGCTTAAAAAGTAAAATCACAAGCGCTTTCAAAAACTTCTTTTGAAGACATATAATAGGTGCAGTTGGATTCAATCTCTGTTATGAAAATATTGATGCTATAATTTACTCCAATGAACAATAATATTTTATATCCTAATTCAATAAACTTAGCTCTTTTTATTTAGAAAATTTATATCATAGGGGTTTTGGGGTTTTGGGGTTTTGGGG